TGTGTGTGTGTGTGTGTGTCTCTGGGGCCCACACACTCGTGCTTCAGCAACACCCATTCTCTCCCGCCTTTCATTGCTCTCATTCTTTTGGAAGCCTTCTGCTCTGAAGTTCAGCCTGTACAACTGAAGGGGCAGAAGCAGAAGCAGCAGCAGCCATGTTGGGCGGGAAGATGGCAATGAAACGGAGCGTCAGCGCGAAGCGGCCGGGCAACAACAACAGCAGCAGCAGCGGCGGCACTGAGAAAGCGAAGGGGGAACCGGGGAAAAAGCGGAAAAAGTCAGTTGTCAACGCCATACCCGCCTTGATGGCTACAACTAAAGCAACACCAACAACAGCGACGACGCGAACAACAAATAACTCTACCACGAACACAACACCACTCGCGAAGCCGCACAGTAAACCAAATATCTTAAGACGACGGGTGAGCGAAGCAAAGAGCAAAGCCTCTCCCATATGTGCAGGGGAGGTGAAGACAACACCGTCGCGGACACCCACAACGGGCACAAAAGGAGTTGAGGTACCAGTGGAGACGCCGACGCCGCCGCCACTGCCGCTGCAGCAGTCGAGGCGGACCAAACGGTCGGCGATAGAGTCGCTGCCCTCGAGCTGCGCCGACACGACGGTGGTGGAGGACCTGGAGCGCACCAACAGCGATGCAGCGCCAGTAGTGAGGCCGCCCCCGCTCCCGTTGTATCCGGTGCTGCAATTGAAAAATAGCACGGACATCTCTGCACACAAAAATGGGCGGGCAAGCGTCGTTGAGGTGAAGAGTGCCGCCAGAAACGGTGATGAAAAGCGGTTAGTGGGGGAAGCTGCACGAACCGACAACAAGAACAACAACAACGGCGCCGACGGCGTCGGCACCGCCAACGAGAACACCAGCGGCCCCGGCAACTGTGGGGCATCCTCAGACGCGGCGGGGGCGGCGAGACGCGCCAACAGCGGGGGCGAAGACGACGAGGGAGACGGCAAGGCGTCTGAGGAAGATGACGACGACGTGGACGAAGACGATGATGATGATGATGATGATGATGATGATGAGAGCAACACCGACGACGATGACGACGATGATGAGAGCAACACCGACGACGATGAAGAGGAGGTGGAGGACGACGACGGCGACGAAGACGAGGACGAAGACGATGATGATGACGACGACGACGACGACACGTTCGGCAACGCCACGCGCTCAAGCAGCAGCAGCAGGCAGCGCGCATACGAGCAGATCACCGTGAAGGTCTCGCGCGAAGGTGACCGCAACGTGAAGGTGCTCTTCATCACACGCGCCACGAAGTTCGCGTCCTTCGCGAGGGACATCATGCGCCGCTTCGCCTACACCCGCCTGAGCGACTTCGACATGTACTGCATCGACGCTGCCGGCGACCACGTCGACATTGACGTCCCACGGGACTTCAAGAACCTCGTGGCGCAGTTCCTGCAGACGCTGCGGTGGGAGAGGCGCGCGGCTGACCGCGGCGGCGGAGAATCTTCGCTGGTCGGGACGTCCCGGCGCTTCTCCGCGCGGGAGACGGTGCGCGGCAGCGCCTCGCTTTCTCGCACGGGGCTCGTCTCGCACGACGGGGAACCACCAGTGGAGGAGGGCGACCGCAGCAGCACCACGGTCCTCCGCCTGTACGTGCGCGACTCGTACAGGGCGCGAAGAAAGGAAGAGCAGCGGCGCATCCGCCAGTCCTTCTCGCAGCTCAGCCTCCCGCCGACGGCGGCGGCGGCGAAGCTGCAGCACCCGCTGCATCTACAGCACGTGCTGGGCTCGCCGACGGCGGTTTCCTCGGTGGATACCACGAGTATAGATCCTGCCGACGCGCTGATAGGCTGCGGCAGCAACCTCTCTGCGCAGTTGAGCCACACCGTGGGAAACCTGGCGCAGACGATAGGCTTCCGCGAGGATGAGGAAGTTCAGTGGAGCAAGATGGGCATGCTCGGCAAGGGCTCCTGCGGCAGCGTCTACGAAGGTATTACAAGCGAGGGGAAGATTATGGCGGTGAAGGTGCAGGAGATCCCACTCGACGAGGATGCAGAGGAGGTGAAGGTCATCCAGCGTGAGATTAACCTGATGCGGTCTCTGAAGCACAAGAACATCGTCGCATACTACGGCTGCCAGACGCGGCAACTCCCCAACGGGGCGAGGCAGCTAGAGATCTTTCTTGAGCATTGCCACGGCGGCAGTCTCTCGCACCTGCGCCGCAAGTTCGAGCGCGCAAAGGAGCGATTCTCCATATCCCTCGTGCGCACCTACGCGAAACAGGTGCTGGAGGGGCTCGACTACTTGCACGGCATGAACGTCGTGCACCGCGACCTTAAGGGCGAAAACGTCCTCATCTCCTCCCTCGGCGAGGCAAAACTGGCGGACTTCGGCTGCAGCAAGCGTATTGGCACCGCGACGATGCAGCAGGAGGCGTGCGGCGAGCGCGGTGCCGGCTATCAGACGATGGTCGGCACGCCGCTTTTCATGGCACCAGAGGTGCTCAACTGTGAGGGTGGCTACACGAAGCCGGCAGACGTGTGGTCTGTCGGCTGCCTCGTGCTAGAGCTGCTTGGCCGTCAGCCGTGGACTTTCAAGAACAACGCCAACGCTTTCCAGATCATGTACCACATCTCGAAGAGCACTGGCATGCCAACGGGCGTTCCAAAGCGGTGCCCCGCCAGCCTGTACAGCTTCTTCGAGGGCTGCTTCACGCGCGACCCGGCGAGCCGCTCCACCGCGGCGGAGCTGCTGCAGCACGAATGGATCACCTGTCCCGACAACAAGCTGGAAGAGGTGCTGCCGGACGACGAATGAGGGCGCCGCTGTGAGGCATGCCCGGAAGGATTGATGTGGTGCGCACATACACACATGCACACACACAGGAGAGGGTGTAAGGGAGGAAAGCAAAAAACAAAAACAAAAACAAAGGGAGGATGGAAAACAAGGATCGAGCGATGGTCTCAGTATGAGGGGATGAATGGAACTGCCAGGCGCAAGGAGAACACGGGGGAGTCTACCACAGGCTATTTTTCCCCTGGCCGTTGCATGTGGTGTGATTTTTTTTGTTTCTTTTTTTTTTGTGTTGTTGTTGTGGGGGTTTGGGGGCAAACTGCTGCGGTGTGCAAATGGAAGGAGGAAGAGGGATGTTGTGCGAAGGTGGGCGTGGGCGAGGACATGCGCTGCAGCCAACAAAGGGAGGTATGGACAGAAGTGGACTCTCTTCGCAGTGATACACGCCTATACGCCCCACACGCACACACTCTCACAGCACCCCCTCCTCTAAAGATGTAAATTGTCCTGATGAAGGCGGCGCGTGAGCACGCACCAGCCTTAATGGAGGAAATTTTATACCAGGGAGGTGTGAGAGAGAGAGAGATGGTGAGGGAACGTGCTTTTTGTCATCCGTGAATGGATGCATAACTGGAAATGACTGATTGGTACTCCTCACCGACTGTATACCTTTTTTTTGCTTGCATGCTTTTGAGCTAATTGCTCTGTAGTAGCTGGAACCTGTCCTTACGATATTGACTCTGTTAGATGTGCCTTCTGTGCCCGTGTGCTTGTGTGTCTCTTTGTGACCCTTCCTCTTTCTGCCAGTCTCTCTGTGTGTATTTGGTTAATCAGCCTCGGCCACTCCTGTTGCTGCTGGTGCCTGCGAGTGGGACGAAGTACGAGGCTCAGCTGCTGCTATATACATATATATATATATATATATATGTGTGTGTGTGTCTCTGTGTGGGGTGCTGTGATATATTCTCCTCCCCCCCCTCTGCACACCACCTACACATATTGACAGCAGCAAGAACAAGAGTAATGGTAGCCTAGGCACCCTTTTGTCTTATGAGCATACAGTCGTTGATGAAGCAGCGTGTACTTCTCTGTCTGGTGTATGTGTGTGTGTGTGTGCAAGTTTCATCACCGTGTAACGGAATGTGTGAAGTGACGGCGACCGTGAATCTTTTCCCCTGAGCGGCGAAGTCGTTACTTTGCCGTCCACGCCGTCGGGCACGATGGGTGTGGCCCACTTCGTCCCTGTGCGTCTTCCACTTCTGCAACCGCCTCCCACTTCCCTCCATCCAACTCTGCTGCTCCACCTCCTCTTCACCGTCTATGTGTGGGTGGTGCTATTGTCTTCACCCGCCAAAGGGGATATTTAATAAGCGGTGTTAACGCGCTCCTGGAGGGCAGGAGCGGAGAAGAACACACACACACACACACACACACATTCACTCACATACTCGCAAGGGGATAAAAACAAGCGAAAAGGAAAACACAAACACACACGTATACACAAACACACTCCCACACATAGAGAACCAGAAAGAGGGAAGAAAAGAGAGTGTAGGGCGCGCCCATGCTCATAGAAGACAATGCGCGACGACAATGGCCACTGCTGCTGGTGGTGCTCTTTGTAGCTCTCACCCAGTTTGGAGGTGTCACAGAAGCGACTGCAGCGGCAACGCAGCGTAATAGCACCACGGAGGCGCCGCAGCTGCTGTCACTCTCTGAATTGAGGCAACAGATGCAGCAGCCGTTCTCTAAATTCCATGTGGAGGGCGGTACTTCTTCCTGCAGCGCAGATCTTGGGTGCCCGCGCTCCTCCATGGTCTGGGCCACTGGGACTTTCACCATCAGTGAGGTGCTCACGCCATCTAGCTTCCTTGTGGCGTCAAATTTAACGTTGAAGATGAGCCTCTGCTGTGGATACAAGTACAATGGAGCGCTGCTGCGGGATGAGGCCCTGTACGACGCATTCCTGCAGGTTCTGCTGCAGGCGACGCCGTTTCAGGTACTGACGGCGGAGGAGAAGCGCCGCATGTTCCCCCGAGAGGGAGCCGTCATTCTCGACACGGCGCAGCAGCGCCGCTACGACGCCATGTATGTGCTGACGGCGGAGGATGTGCAGCAGCGCAACGACGGTGACGGCGACGTCATTGTGCTCGTGTCTGGCGCAGTGGGCAAGGGCATTTACCGTGTCCCACTCGACGTCACGGCGGGCGACCACGTCGCCGAGATCCAGCTGAAAATCGCCAACCTCGCAATTAAGTGCAAGTGTCCGCACACGCTGCTGGTGATGCCGCTTCTGCGTGTGCGGCCCGACACACTCCCGCCGGTCTCTATTCTCGGACTGGGCCCGCACTGCGGCGTGCTGCCACGCAAACCCCCAGAGGCCAAGAACAATAATAGTATTAATAATATCGTGCAGCTGCGCGGGGGCGCATGGGCGGTGTCGTTTGCCCTCTCTCCTCCGCTGCTGCCGGCGACGGCGGTTCACTGGGTGGTGACAGAAACCAAGACTACCAACAGCAACAATAACAATAATGCTGTTGTCCTTGACGAGTCGTTTTACATTGCGGCGGAGACAGATACATCTGGCGCGCTTCTGCGGCATCATGCAAACTGCAGTTTTTTTGAGGTGCTCCCACACCAAATGTACACGGTGCACGTGACAGCATCTCGCGGAAGTGTCACACAAACGGCGAGTGGCGTCTTTGTGATGCGGCTGCCACTCAATAGACACTGGGACGTGGAGCACGCGGCGCCGCGGCCGCACTTCGGCATTGAGCGTCGCCTGCGGCTGCTGGAGCGCACGCTGAACCATGCCGAGCTGCGCGATGCATTGGCGCCGCGCCACGTGCCGCTGCATTACTTCGGCTATTGGGAGAACGCCCCATACGATGATCAGCCACTCCCGCAGTTGCTACAGCGAGTGCGTCATAACCCATACACAGAGGACACAGCCACCTACCCACTCTTTGTGGGCCGTAACAACGTCTCCTTCTATGTGAGCGATGTGGACGAGGTGTGCGACCCGACGCTGCTTGAGGCACAGGAGCTCTGGGCGGTGCAAGGCGTCCTGCTGCAGCCGGCGACATCGCCTATGACAGCGTGCAGTGACGACGTGCCGGTTGAGGCACTCACGCTGAAACTTGTGCTGGCGGCGATGCGCGAGACGTGCCGATTGCCGCTGCGCTTTCCCGGCTCCGCATGGGAGCCGCTGCACCAGAAGGACGACGCAGTAGAGGGGCACTTTGAGTGCACCGAGCGCGGCGCTGGGCCATGCCACGTCCAAGCACCCGCAACGCGTGGCGGGACGGCAGGCCTTCTGCAGATGCGGAGGCGCGGTGTGGCGGAGCTGACGTGGGCGGTACGTGTCGAGGTGGACGGCGCCGCACTGGTCCCGCCGGAGAGCCTTGACCCGGCGCTCGCACGCATCCTGAGCCGTGAAGAGAGCAGCAGCAACAACAACAGCAACGCGGATTCGTCTTCCGCTGGTGCGGCGGCGGTGGTGGTGGTGGAGGTGCGATCGCGCGTTGTGGTTGTGGTGCGCCGCATGTCGACGATGCCGTCGGGCGTTCGGGTGACGCTGCCGATGCATCAGCGCCGCCTGACGGTGCAGCCGCCGCGGCCG